TCCCCCCTGGCAGATCCGGACATTACACTATGTATGTTTTGCAGAGATTTATTCGGCACTCGACGGTCGTGGTTACATTTGCTCCCGTATGCGGAATTCTCCGTTGCGGAGACGCTTTACAATAACGGTTCGCCCGGCCGTGCGGTGGCGGTATCGCTGTCCTGGGCGGATGTGCTCCCACGGAATGCCGTTCAGCGGCCCCTGGTCTGCTGCGGGTTGTCCACCGGTAAAATACCCGTATCCGGGTGGTGGTCCCGATGTCGTGGTCTCGGCTCTTGGTGCTGGTGAGGCGGCTGGTGTCGGCGGAGGCGTCGGTAGGCTCGGCGTAATCGGTGCGGCCGGTGGCGCGGCGCCGTTCTCCGTTCCCGCGTTGACCCGTGTTTCCGGTATTGGCTCGTCGTCGAGATCGGACAGGGATCCGAACAGCTCCTCGAGTTCGGAGGCGAGGGCGGCGGTCGTTCGTGCCGCGGTGTCGTATAGCTGCTCCTGTCTCGACCGGACTGTTCGGGCTCGTATGGTGGCCGGGGTTCTGCCCCTGCTCTCTATGCTGATCGAGGCGCGGGTGGTTCGTGGCCGGGCCTCGGCGGGCGGCACGTATCGCGGGGCCTGCAGCGTCATCCCCGGAGGTGGTGCGTGGCCGGGTATCCTGGCTCTCGGGGCGGCTCTCTCGATCTGCTTTCGCAACTTGCCCATTTCGCTGACTATTCCGTCTGTCCTCCTCGGTCCGTGTTCCCGTATATATACCCGTTGTGATGTTTTGATTTTAGGAGTCCGCGACACCCTTCAAATCCTTCACATGCGCGGTTCCGACCAGGCGGTTGTTTTGGTTTCGCAGGCGGTAGACGACCGGTGATATTGCTCGGTCGACGGCATACGGACCGGAGTATTTCGGCGCGAGTTTTCCCGCGAAGTGTTCGCCGGCCTTTGACAGCGGGTGTTCCCGTCTCATAACTTGGTCTCCAGGTGCGGGACGCCAGTCCCGGCGTCGAAGATTGTAGTATTGTTCCTGGCGTGATGTGGCGTCCTGTTGGCGTGCGGCGGCGGTTGCGGCTTCCTCGCGCATTTGATCTATTCGGTGTTCGCGCGTTGCGGTTTCGGGTTCCCCGATGTCTTCTGCCAGTGGCGCCTCGTGCTGCGCGCGCAGTGTCCCCGGGGCGGTAAGTTCGCGGCCGTACGTCAGCCTGGCCGGCGTGAATTCGGTACTTTCCTGTACCGCTGTGTTAATTGCGAATACTAGCTCGGGTAGTTTTTGGTCCCACCGGCGGTGATCTCGTTCGATGTACTGGGCGACCATGGTTTTTAACGTTCGGTTGGCTCGTTCCACTGGATTGCACTGCGGCGAGTACGGAGGCGTTCGTCGGTGTTGAATGCCGGCCCGCTCGAGTAGCCCTCGAAATTCCCGGCTCTCGAATTGACGACCGTTGTCTGTTATTATCCGTCTTGGGCAGCCGTGTTGCAGTAAGATGTGCTCCTTGACGTTTTTGGTGATTGCGACTGCGGTGGCTTGTCGTAGTGGCTTGGCGACGACCCATTTCGTGAAGACGTCTTGCGCCACGAGTATCCACGCGTGTCCCTCCATAGAACGAGGTAGCGGTCCGACGAGGTCGATCGCTATGACGGTGGCTGGTTCCTCTACTCGATGGTGGTGCATTAGTCCCGCGGTTTGTCGTTGTTGTACCTTGTGTAGTCGGCAGTTGGTGCATCGTCTGACGTAGTTGGCCGCTTCTCTTGTCATGCCTGGCCAATAATAATTCTT